GGAACCCTATGGCTAGCAAAATCGTGACCTAGTGGACCTAGTGTTACTAGAGAGGGCATAACCGATTTTAGAGGCTAAGTAGTATTCTCTCAAGTTATTCCAAGTCTTGTGGTGTTGTGTGAAGCATTTGAGGCACAACATTTGGGGTGCTAGGCTCACAAAGTCTTGAAGGAATCCAAGCAACAACAAGGTATGTATTTCTACTAGTTTTATGTTTTATGTAATCCCCATGCCATGCTAGTTAGGAAATAACCTTGAAAAAGAAATTTGCATGTATATAGAGAAAACATAGATTCAAGGTTATTAGGGTTGCATGTACACTTAGGAAGTGTTAGAATGCTCAAAACCCATCAGAATCGTGTTTAGGGAAAGAGAGGCATCAGAAGAATTTGAAGCCATGAGGAAGAGGTAGGGCCGGCTAGAATTGTAGAGAGAGAAAGGCTGATACCATATAAGGAATTGATATCAACTCCAATGAATCAGAGTGATTGTATATTCATGTATTTATATATGAGTACAAATTACAACAACTTTCCCTATGATAATGGATAACATAAATCTAAAGTAACCACTTGCTATTTATCTCCAGATATCTCGTTTATAAAGACTATGTATAGACGACCGTTTGTAACCTAAAATAGTAAAATATATTAGGATCTGAATTCTAAGTCTTTGGGGGTTGGGATTCTTTTGGGCTTTGAACCGGGTAATATGAACGTCAGGCCCATAGACAAAGAAAGACTCAAAGAGTCGAAGTTAAAGACACAAGGATAATTGAAAGAGTTATAGTCACAGTAGCTTAACAATTGTTAGTATAATGGTTTAAATGGTCCATTGTGGTTTTTTTGCCTTTAAAGGGTACAAACTTGTATTTTACCGGTCATTTTGGTACTTTTACCCACATTAGAAGGTAACAGTGCTTTGTGAAATGCCAAATAAACATGTGAGTCAACATTGACTTATAAATTTACCACTTTAGTTTTATTTCACTTGTTTCAAACTCCATAACAATAGAATACTTCACCAGGGTTATGATTGAGCAAACTTAAGCTCCTCTGTCGTAACGTGCAAACATCAAAGAGGCTTGAAAGCTGAGTTCCACCGCCCCTTCCGACCTCCACTGTCATCCAGTTCATGTTCACCCCCTCTGTAAATTTGCTTAAGTTTCAATCTTGTGGAAGTGGAACTAATCTTCAAACCCACTCTTTCTTGTGATTCCAGGATCTGTTTCTCATCTCTTTAATCGAAAAATAATAGTAAATAACTATCTTAGAGTAGCGGAATGGAGTTGTTCAGGAAGGCGAAATCGATCCGACTAAAAAGCCACCACGACAAATACCTCTTGGTCGAGAGCGACGGCGAAAGTGTGCTACAAGATCGTAATGAAACAATAAAGAAAGGCATTTGGATGGTTGAATTTGTTGAAGGCTTCGACAATGTCCTCCGATTGAAGTCCAGTTACGGGAAGTATCTCACCGCATCTGAAGATCAAGTAATCACCGGTTTCACTGGTTAGAAAGTCGTTCAAAGTATGCCCCAGAGGCTTGAATCCTCAATCGAATGGGAACCGATACGAGACGGGTTTCAAGTTCGTCTTAAAACCCGTTACAGAAATTATCTACGAGCCAATGGTGGGTCATGGAGAAATTCAGTTACTCATGAAATTCCTTACAGGCATCACGATTGGATATTGTGGGATGTTGAAATTATGGAAGCTAGACCAGAGGAACCATCGCCATCGTTGCCTTTATCTGAAACGATAAACCCATATCTAAATTCGTCCTCATTTTCTCTTAGAAGCTCTCTGGCCCTACTAATGTTCGTTAAAATCATCATTCATTGCTACACATTTGGATTTGCGATTTTGTCTCACTTGTTGTGATACACACCACGTGTTTGTGGAAATGCAGGGAAATGATCCACCGGCTGCAAAGAATGAAGGGATGATGGTGTATTACACGGTGGTGGATGATGATGGGAACGTTGATGATGGTTATAAAGAAACATCGTTTGCATTCAAGGGGCATGGATTGGAGGATTTGACTATGAATTTGGAAGAACAAACATGGATAGATGATATAATCGTGTGCTCCAGAAATCCATTGAATGGAAATCTTTTTCCACTCCGGTTAGCGTTGCCACCCAAACAACTCCGATTGTAGCTTGGCCACAACAACAATGGTGGGTTCCGACGACGCTTTAAGAAACACAACAACAAACACAATCTGCGGCAGAGATAGATGAAGATAAGGAAGAAGAAGGTGGTGGGTACGAGATTTTTGCCAACAAGATATCTTCAGTGGCTACTGTCGAGAGAGAAAAAAATGAAGAGAGAGAGAGAGAGAGATGAGGTGGATTAGTTACGTGCCATTTGCAAACTAATGATTAGGATGGGGTTACTGGGTGACCCCTTCAAATTTTCTAAAAGGACCTTTTAAAACCTAAAAATACAAGTTGGTGCCCTTAAAATGCAAAAAATAGTCACGATGGACCATTTAAACTAATATACTAAAGTTTGTTGGGTTACAGTGACAATAACCCTATTTGCAACTATAGATATAAATCCTAACAAATTTCAGAGAAACAAAATATTATATAAGACAACAAAATGGTGTAATGAACCTCACAAAGTTAACACTTAGGCATGTTGGAGGATTTAAGTATTTTCCCTAATAACGTAATTAATACAAGACAAAAAATGGTAAACAAAATTATCTCATGCCATCACGGGGTGGTAAATTTGGACGTACTAACAGTATTTTGGATATCGGCAGACACATGTGGAGCGTGGGGGTCCCAGACCACTGCTCTGATTTATTCCGTAAGTGTGATTTTTTTTATATAGGTGCAACATCTATAAAAATAAGTTTCATAAGTGCAACTACTATTTTAGAGGTACCCTAAAAAAATATAACATGGTATAACTAATACTAGCCCAAAACAATAAAAAATAGCCCAAAAACATCCGCCCACCAAGTTATATTCATTAAACCCACTACCCGATTCCCCTTGTCTATGGTCGGCTGAAGCCTGAAGCACAAAGCTCGAAAGAAAAAAAAAAAATCCTTTTTGCTCTGTGTGAAGCTGCGACGCAAGCAAGAAGGCAAAAAAATCCATTTTTTGCTCCAACTCTCCAAGCTATTTCGATTTTGTTTGGCTCTCTTCAAAACTACAATGAAACAGGTAAGTATTTATATTTTTAGGTTTACGGAATTACTCAAATTAGTTGTTTTTTTCTTGAAATTTCTTATTTTCTAGGTGAAATTAGTAGTTGTTTACCTTGAAATTAGTTGTTGAATTGTTGTTAGATACTTATATTGTTAGATAAATGAATTACTTGCTTGTTTGATATAGAATTGTTAGGATAAAATTGGGTCCTTTTGTGGAAGAACAAGCATCAATAAATCAAGTGTTGGAGAATCCTCCAAAAGATCATGCTCCAATTACAAGTGTTGAATTGAAAGATCTTCCAAGAGACCCGGGTGTTAGACCAAAGATTACAACTTACAATCCAAATCAAAGATATGAAATAAAAAGGGCATATTTGCTTCAAGAACCTTGTCAACCAAGGAGTCATACATTCCCATCAAAGAAAATAGGTACAAAAGAAAGACGTTTTGTAAGTGGTTTGATGACTTTCATTGGTTAGAGTATAACATAAAAGAGAACAAAACATTTTATTTATTTTGCTATGTATGTAGAGACATGGTAGGACAACAAAAAGGGAGAGATGCATTTGTTTCACAAGGTTTTGTAATAAAAAAAAGTTCATTCAGAAACCATATAGGTGGTATTGATAGTTTTCATCACAAAGCAAGAGAAAATTGTGAATTTTTATTAAAAGAAAAACAATCTATTAGTGCAGCCTTCAAGAAGCAAACCAAAATTGAGGAGAGTAACTATAAATTTTGTTTAGGTGCTTCATTTTGGTGTTGTAAATTTTTATTGAAAAATGGTTTACCATGAGGACATGATGAGTCGAGTGACTCCCTTAATAGAGGACTTTTCTTTAAGTTATTATCTTTCATGGGAGATCATAATGAAGGCATTCACAATGTTACCTTAGAAAGTGCTCCTCAAAATAATCAAGTTACGTGTCTGATGTCTCAAAAGCAAATTGTTGAATGTTGAATGCTTTTCAACAGATATAATTTTAAGTATTCGCAAAGAAATTGGTAATGATGTGTTTGCTTTATTTGTTGATAAATCTAGTGATGTATCAAAAAAAGAACAAATGACCATAGTTTTGAGATATGTCGACAACCTTGAATGGTGAAGGAAAGCTCCATTGAAGTTGTGCACGTGAATGATACATCCTCTTTGACTCTTAAAGCGGTCATAGATGAAGTTTTGACTCTTTGACTCTTCAACACAGTTATGGATATGCGAATTATAGAATTCGGGGAACGATATAGTGAGTTTTATCACCCATTACTAGAATACATGGGGGGTTTGAGTCATTGTGATTCATTTGCTAAATTTGACAAAACAAAGTTGTTAAAGTTGAGTGAGTTGTACAAAAGATTTTGATGATGCAGAGATGATGCAACTTGATGGTGAACTTGAGATACATTATCACGCTTTGCATAAAGATGACCGGTTCACTAGTTTGCAAGGTATTTCTAATATTTCTCGTTTGATGGTGGAAACGGAGAAATATCGGTCTTATCCTATAGTATAGTTTATAGGTTGATGAAGTTGGTTTTGGTTTTACCCGTCGCGACCGGAACAATCAAAAAAATGTTTTTCTGCGATGAAGTTTTTGAAGACTAACTTGCATAACAAAATAGGTGATGATTTTTTGAACGATGTCATGATTTTTTATGTTGAAAAAAAAGCCCTTATGAAAGTGAAGATTGAAAATGTAATGGGTCGATTTCAAAAAATGTATACCCGTAGATATCAAATTTAAATATTAAGATGTACTGGATTTGTTTAATGTACTAGTACTTTATAAAAAAATTATGTTGTTACATTTGGTCGGAATTTTTTATTAGTGTTATCGTTGTTCAAATTTTCTATGTCCGCCACTGATTTTGAGCATTGTTAGGGTTTGACCTCTATATTTTTTATGTGGAATTTCACATATCAGCCATTAGGCTCCTATCAGTTCAACGAGATTTGAAAAAAAATGGAGCATAAACCTCAAAAATGTGATCTTAATAGATTGGAAAAACATAAGATTTTGTTTTTCATTTCGGAACGGTTTAATTTTTTAAAAGAAAAAACTAACTAAATGCTAGAAAAAGAAAATAGAGTGAATTACACGAATGGTCCCTATGGTTTAGGGTAATTTACGCGTTTGGTCCCTAACTTATTTTATTAACTCGGAAGGTTCCTACTGTTTGTTTTTGTTACACGATAGGTCCCTGTCTTACCTAAAAAGACTATTTTTCCCTTGATTTTTTAATTTATTTAAATAAACATACCCCCAACCCCACCCCCTCACCTTACCTTACATACCCCACCATTTTTTCTATTTAAATAATAGTTTTTTTAGGTAAGACAGGGACCAAACGCGTAACAATAAGAAACAGTAAGGACCAAGCGCGTAACAAAAACAAATAGTAGGGACCTTCCGAGTTAAAAAAATAAGATAGGGACCAAAAGCGCAAATTACCCCAAACCATAGGGACCATTCGTGTAATTTACTCAAGAAAATAAATCTAAACGGTATAAAGTGTAGCTTGTAATTTTTTTAGGATCGTGTATTTATGAAATTTATTTTTGCCAAAAACACCCCTTATGAGAGGGTTTCATTATAATTTTCGTCCTAATGTTATATAAAACTAGAAGGAGGACCTTCCCATGGGTCACAAAGTCTTTTTTTTTCTTTTGTAATAAATTATGACCGAACATATTTGTGTTTATTTGATTTTGGTCTAGATCTCGTCATACGTCCAAATACAATATTTCTTTCAGCTAAATGCAAAAAAAAATATCGGAATCAACAAAAGATAAAAATATCACATCTTTGATTCAACCACAACGTTGTTGTTTCAGGTCAGCTTCGAAGATTTTCGACGTGCGTTTGGCATCTATAAAAGGACAAAATAGTAATTTGATATGCAATATTATGCCAAGGGTATCATGGTAATTTACGTCATAATGGGTCTCTTGAAGAATAAACATTGTCATTATGTCTCTTCTCTATGCACATAGATGTCTAAAACACAAAGCTAAAAGGGAAGTAAGTGCAAAACTCGGTCTAAGGGAAAAAAATAATTTACCTTATCCAGTTCTACTTTCAGAAGGGTATATTTGTAAAAATTTGGCAGTAAGGAACCTTAAAATGTGAAACTCTTCCTTAATTTATTGATCTCACCTTCTTGGCCTTCCTGCATATTTGTAACCCCATGAGTTAAAAACATTGATTTGATCATAATTTCCTTGAAAATGGTATTTGAGACATTTCATTGATAATCACCTCCCCCCTCTTCTTCTGTTACCGTTTGTATAACCCAATCATTGGAATGAAACAAATGAAATCATTTTTAACCATGTTATATATTTGTAAGACTAAATGAAATAAATGGAAATGCGCTTTTATTAAATTATACAATATAACATTCTATTTTCATATCTTTACATTCGACCATTATACTTCTACTTTTTTCCCCTTTTAACAAATTGTGCTTTTAAAAATCTACCAAGTTGTAAAATTACACCTTTAATTTATAATTTAATGGAAGAAGATGATTCAAGAAACAAATGAAAAGCAAATGGTTCTATTTTGGCAACACAATCCTTGAAACTTCTTGTTGCATTGTTTTCGTTTACACGAGGTGGTCAACTATGTAATAACCATGTGTCGCATCGCCGGTCGGCAGCTGAAACGTATGTTGTACGCCGTTTGACTTCGGATCACAGATATTGAGCATACATTGAACAAAATAAAATTATAACATAAATAATATCATATTATTACTAAAAAAAAGAGATTACAGGAATATTCAAAGTTACAATAATATGATGTTTTTAAACAGTAGTCTAGTAACTAATGCGACATCACTGCTTCAAGGGTAGTTGCAACTTCAAGACTTGACTTTAGGGTGTGCAAGCTTTCAACTGTTGGTTTCCTCGGAATACATGTGGTTTTGAAAATGTCAACATAATGTTGGTGACCTCACGTGTTTGAATGCTATAAATTGAAAATATTTTT